CAGCTGGATTAGTCATTCGTGACTCTGCAGTCTTCTATATTATAAATTGTCCTTTAATTCCCTCACTAATACAATATGTATTGAGAACAAGCAATGTCTCAACCAGCTAATCCTCTGCCTGCAGGGCCAGCTTCTTATTATGGTGCCAGTTCTAGTCTTGACTACTTTACTTTACATCCAAACTTATCGTTTTGGAAAGCAGCAGAGAATGGTTCAAGTCCCTGGGTTTTTGCACCAACATATAAGATGCAGAAGAATCTCCTGGCTCCTATTTTAGATTAAGCTCAAATCCAGATGTTACAGCCATTTAGGAAGTGAATCAATGGATGCAAGATATCTTTCCATTCCTCCTTCTCTGTAGATATGCCTTTCAATTAAAAATAAGTTAAAAAGGGAGGGAGGGAGAAACAGAATCTTCCATGCCTTTATTCTCTCATCAAGTGTCCACAATGGCTGAAACTGATCTAAATCTGTTAACTATCTTGTTCACTCACACGAGCGGCAAACACTGAGACTATCAGATGATACCATTTGCTGCTGTTCCAGGTACTAATATTACTAGAATTTGGAGCACATCAATAGTAGGCCGAAGCTAGACTGTGTGCTATTATGTGGGGTGCAAATGTCTCACACCATGATTTAACCCGTAGGCATATGCTGCCCCAGAATGCCGTTCGGTGTGTAAGGGCTCATCCTTTCCCTCTGCCTTCCCCCTGCCAAACCACTTCTGGGTTGTTATTGGGTACAGGGACTTCCAAGCATTGGATTTTTAAATTTCTCTTGGGGCTTTATCAGCACAGTGTTGCTGCACAAAATAGACATCCTGTCACAGCTTCTAGAACATTCCCCTGGGATTTCAGAAGGGAACCTAGAACTCTTATAAGTCCATTGGAAATGGACAAAACCTTTAAGAAAGAGTAGATTTTTATAATTTTACTTAAAAGTCTGAGTTACAGAGGGGGAGTGGCACAGAAAAGGAGAAAGAGAGATCTTCTATCTTCTGTTTCAATCCTCAAATGACCACAATGGATGGAGCTGGGTCTGTCCATAGCTGGGATCTGAAGGCATCTTCTGGGCCTTCCACATGGGTGCAGAGCCCAAGAGCTTGAACCAACCATCTGCTGCTTCCCCAGCTCATTTGCTGGATCTGAGTGGAGCAGCTGGTACTACAGTTGGTGCCCTTTGGACACTGTACGCAGATTAGCCTGGACTTTTGATGCATAAATATTGGGCTGCTCTCAAGGCCCTCTTCAATGGTCTCTCCCATCCTCCCCACATTTAACTACACAAAATCACCCTGTTTATTTTCTTCATCCCCTCTCACACACATAGGCTAGTGTCCACCTTCCTACCTAACATTCCATATCAAGACAAGTTTTCTGTAATCCTATGGTGGTAGCCAGGTTGGAGATCTGTAGTGTGAGGCTTCTTCAAGCTGGCATGAGTTTCCAATGGGTTGTGCATATTCATCTTTTGTATAATGGGTTGTGCATATTCATCTTTTGTATAATGGGTTGTGCATATTCATCTTGTTTGAAGGTGACCTGGGTAAACATTGTCGTGTGTAGTTCAGAGGGCTGTTCCTATGATCTTATGGGATGAGCTGGAAGCCCTGCCTCATCACCATTGGTATGTTGATCCTGAACAGCTTGTATTCCATTAGAGGCAAAATGCATGAGGACTTCAAAGATAGACATGTGGTCCAAAGAGAAGCAGTAAGAGTATGGAGTTTGCTGGATCAAGAAGGGAGTATCAGCCAGGATTACCATGACCAGGTGTTATAATTCCCACCTTATTTAGCCTGGTCATGGAGTTGTTAGTTCTTGGCTAAGAACATTGAATACAGCTTTGTACCGTCTGCCTTGATGATCCCAAAATAGCATTCTTTATGGGCACGGTTAAGACACTCATCAGGCAGCAGTTAGCATACCTGTATTGTGTCTTGCAGGACCACCAGACCCCAGGAGTTGATCTGACCTAGGAGTGTGAAGGAAGCTTTGATCTTGGTGTTGCGTTCAACAAGTTCAGAGGAGCATTTAACACAGAGTTTGGTGGTTGAAATGACCTTACTTTTTTGCTACCCCCACTCCGAGTTCCCCTATATTGTCACTATTGTATAGTTTTTTATAAACAGTCATATGTCCATCATTGCAGGCATGGACAATGGTGGAGAGTCCAGCATCCTATTGTCAAAATATTGTTAACAGTTTCAGGAGAATCAAGATGGCAGAATAGGGTAAGGACATGTTTAAACAGACGGAGAAACATTAGCCAGTGTGAAGCAAAGAGAACACATTCCAGGAAATAGGAAAGGACAGAACAATAGCAGAGGGGTACCTAGAGACTGACAGACACAGGAAAGCAGCAGACACACGGTGTGGTGTTGCAGTGACTGATACCCCAGAGGCATTTAGCGTGTGGCAATCCGAATTACACAGACAGCGAGAACTACACCAGCAACCAGCTGGGAAGGGACTTTCACTGGGAGCTCAGGCAGTGAACACAGAGAAAGAACTGCCCATCCTGCTGCTTTGTTTGATTTGACCAGGAGCAGAGACAGAGGGCAGGTCCCAGATGGGCAGCGCGTGAACAGAGTGGATTTCACAACGCAGTCCGCCTCCTAGAGCCGTATTGGACGTCATTTTGTTTAAGGAGGCAAGGGTTATGGATAGTACTGTGCATGGACTGAGGTGGAAGTGAACTTATTTCTGGCTCAGTGAACTGCAACAACATGGCATCCTACAGGTTCCACCCAAGATAGATCTGGGTAGCCCTCAGACCTGACAGCCAACAGATCAAGAACTGTAGTAGTGGCACATCAGGCACAATTTCTTACGATGTGGCAAAGGCTTTAAGAATGCAGGAACAACAGTGACCTGTGCATGCACTGGGTTGGGAGGAAACACACTGAGCTCAGTGCATTGCAGTAGTCTCACAGGAAAATAATACCGACTATGGCATCATATGGGTCAAAATAGGTCTGGGTGTTCCTTATACCTAATGGCCAACAGGTTCTGGCAAGATCAGCACCATAAACAACTGAACTATATAGGACACCTGGTGTCTCCCTAATCCTGGTGTCTGCTCCAACCAGAAGTGAGAGAAGTGTTGTACAGACAACAGTGCAGCCTCAGCATGGTATCACAGGAGGTGGAGAGTAGTGAGCCAGGAGCTGGGGCTGTGGAGACTATGGTGGAAATCTAACAGAAGAACCCAGACCTGGAACTTGGCTGGAGAGAGTGGTAAAACTGACTGCAAACAAAGAGCTGTGTACCAATGCAATAAGTATTGCTGGTAGATGTTGTGGCCCTGTCCACCCAACACCATATTCTTATGTGCATCAGCGGGTGATACAGCCTCAATCTATTTGGCTTGTTCCCAATCCTTGTACCCATGAATGTGAGAGAGTTCCATGGTCATGCCTAGCTCAGCCCTTCACTAGCTCCAGTTCTTGAGCAAACCAGTGGATGTTGAAGCTCCACAGGGGTAAGCCCACATATCCCCCATAGAATCTGCCTCCAGACCTGGTGCTCTCACATGCTGGTTAGTGTCATGGCCCAGCCTAACATTACCTGTCCCCTGTTCTGACAATCCCTGGGGAGTACTGTGATCTAGTCATACCAGGTAGGCTCCCAGCCTTAACTTTACTGTGTGCCAGTGGGTGGGGTTGTTGGTGGTCAATGCTAACTAGCCCAGCCCAGGTCTCCTGGGTGGCATATACATCAGTGTGACTCAGTATGGTCCTCCAGCTTCCATCCTCAAAACTACTGGGTCTTAGCTCCTTTGCTTACCTGCAAGTACATTGGCCTTGTCAATGGAAACCTTTCAGAATTCACTCACCTGCAACATACTCCCTCAGTGGCCTTATCTCCCACACATCCCCTTCTGCCCTTCACTGAGCAATCCATAGTTCCTGTGCCCAGTAGTGCATAGGTTCCCAAGTCTAGTCTTCTGAATCCCAATCTTCCAGTAGGGTGGTATGCTGGCCTGGAGCTCTGGCCACTTACTCACATCCCAGGCTCCTGGCACATGTGCTGACCTGGGAAATTACTCCCTCTTCCACAAAAATATCTAAGCCCATTCAAAGTTCTCCAAGCAGGATCCACCAGCACACCATGTCTGCATGCTAACCTAGGGCCCTTCCCCACCGCCTCTTCATCCTACCTGGGATGCAGCATGTGAGGGAAATCACCAGGCTCATTCCATCTGCCTAGGAGCTAGCCTCCAGGTCCTCACATACCCCAACTGACCCATTCCCCTTGGTCCTCTGCAGAGCTGCACTCCCACGCTCAACAAGCCCGCCATTCATAGAAGCTTTGCTGCCATAATCAAAATGGTGCCCAATGTGCCACTCAGAATTATAGGGATTTGGGCAGCAAACAGCACTCCCTCTCCCATTGCTTCTGCAGGGTCTCCACTGTTCTGTTTTAGTTCATGATTTGATTTAAAAAAAATCAGTGGAACCTGCGAATCTATGACTTGACTCACCTCCTGAATCCCAGGTGGTCTCCTTTTCTCACAGTTGTGTCTATGGCACTCCTATCACCATTGGGGTATCTGCTGCAGCACCTCAACACTATTACTGCCGCTTCCCCACGTCAATGGATTTACAAGTGTCTCTGCTGATGGCCTGCCCACTTCTATTAGCCAGCATCTCACCCTCTCTGCTTTTCCTTTGCTAACGCTTCTCTGTCAGTTTTAACATGTCCTCACCTGATTCTGATACCTTGCCTCCTCAGGTGATGTACATTGAATAGGAGATTTGTCTTAAAGGTGTATTTGAAGGGTGTGACAGCAAAGATGCACCAAAGTGAGGTCAGTTCACCAAACAAAGAGTCTTATTTAGAGAGGCATAAGTACTCCATAAGTACTGAATGACTGCATTGATGATTGACTGAGTGAATCACAGAACACATTTCCAACCTTTGCAGCAAAACTGAATTTGGAAGATTCCAAAGCTTCATGTCTGTTCATTGAACTCCAAGTAGAAAAAATAATCTCCACATCAATGTTTATTTTTGTAAAGATTCAAATGATAAGTTAACTGAGAAAAAGGAGCTCCCTGGGTCTTGAACTCACTCCCACAGAAGAAAGCTGATGAGTGGGTTCATGTTGTGTTAGGAAGGAGCTCCAGCATCCTCCCAAACCAGAGCCTTGGGAAGTGACTGATCACTGGGCTAGAGAGAGAGACATAGAGGGACAGAGAGCTACAAAAGGTGACATCGGTTTGAGGCTTCCTGTGTCCCCTAACAGATGAACATATCAATGGCTGAAAACTTCTTGAGTCAAATCACTGTCCCAGGTCTCTAGTGCAGCATTTCCTACCACAGGGAGGGCTACAGATTTTACAGATGATGGTATTGTAAGCTTTCTGTTGTGTGGAGATGGAGAGGAACAGTGTAGGAGAGAATGCAGAATGGATGGGGAACCCAGGCGAACAGCGGGTCTTCTAGATGTCCTTGAAGGCCTTCACGCTCTCAGAGACAAACTGTTGGAAGCTTCTGACTTTGGGGTTTAGTCGGTAGGTGAGCTCGACATCGCGTTCTGGGTTCTTCTGCCAGTAACGACACATGTTGGCTATCCCCTTCGCTTGAGGGATGTTCAGCTTCTCGTAAGCTTCTGGAGTGATCTGTTCAGAGCAAACAGCAAGGGAATGTTAGAATCCACATTCAAAACAATTCTGAAAAGATATTCCTTTACTTTGATAATGACACAAGTCCACAGCTGTCACACCTAACTCCAAAATGCAAAGTCCTGTCCTCAGAAGCCGTGGGGCAGCAAACTGACTTCTCCAGTCACATCTGATGTCAATCTGAGCCATATGAAGCTATTTTTGGTCTTCATTGATCTCATTTATAGGAACCAGTCACATCCTTGATGACAGATTCTTGCTCTAGGCGCTGCTGGTGATGTCATGTCATATATGTGGAATCTGTACCTAGTGAGAAACTTTCAGGATTCAAGAAGCAACGTTGCTTCCAGCTTCAGGTGTTTGAGATAAGGTACCCTGGAGTTTCACCTTTTTTTGGTCAAGAGCATCTCTGCATTCCCTCTTGGGGTTGTAGTGTTGAAAACAAAAAGGAGTTAACATGGTTCGTTGCTAATTGCTATAATTTTCACTTTTCTAACTTCTGCTTTGATTGCTTGGCTATTAAACTATGTGAGCCTGTATGGTCTCTCAGGCTTAGCTGTCTACACGACCTTCAGCACAGGTAGTTCTCAGTTCCCAGGAATCAAGGTCTGAGTTTGGTTATCCCACAGGTGGCTTCAAGGTCTAAGGTTGGTTGTCTTGACTACTAGACCAGAGAAGAGCCAGGCACAGGCTGTCTAGCCACAACAAGCTTTTATAAACTGCTCCTATGAAAACCCTCTGAAGGTTCTGTTCAGGGCCTGACTTTGTTAATGGCTGGCGCCTTACATCTCCCTGTAATAAAATTTGTGCTAAGTGTAATGTTCTGTTTTTGTGGTTGGTTGTGGATGCAACAGCATGCCCCTGGCAGCATTCTGGGATGTTGTGCTGTCCTGACACTCCATGCAGTGCACACACCACATACCCCATCTCTGGTCTGCTCCCTCCTCTTCAGCAGAGTGATGCCTCACACATCCTCACTAACCTTCTTGTCTCTGTTGTCTTCAGGCTTCTCTCAGATAGGTCAACGAACACTCCCTAACCTGTCTTGTCACTGTCCATCATATCTACCACTGAATCCCTTCAGACACTAACTACATCACTAACTTTCCCTCAAGTAATCAAAAACTACTTTGTTCTGATCCTATATCATCTCCTTATCCCTCAGCGATATTCTGACCTTAGAAACATGGTCCTAACAAAGGTGTGAGAGTGGAGACAGGTATTCCTACCAGGGCCTAAGACACCTGCATCACACGTGACATGACCTGGATTCAGTTTCTGTCTCTGCCTCCTGGTCCAGCTTCCTGTCAGCGTGGGCCCTGGCCTGAGGGAGCTGTGCTGGCCCATGTACCTGGACTCCCACCGTTGACTCGGGCGACCTTTGAGTTCCAGGCTGGAGTCTGGCTCAGTGCCAACAGTTGGAACAATTGAGGATTGAACCAGGAGATGGGAGCTCCTGCTTTCTCTCCATCTTGCTGTCCCTCCTTCTCTCTCCTTCTTCATCCATCCCTCTTTTTCTCTCTCAACTTCCTTTACTCTCAACGTAGAAAATGAATTTTAATGTGACAGACACAAACAACTTATGTAAAATGATGCTTGTCACATGCCATTTAGAATAGTGAAAAATGAAGAAGCTACATATCGATCAATAGGGGAATGGCAAACTGTGGTACCTAGTCCTTAAGAATATTATACATTTATTAAAATGAATGTATTTTATCTTTTCTATATTGCTTCAGATATTTTATAACAGAAACTTGAAGTGCAATGAATGGTGGTCCATGTTAAGAAAATCAAATGAAATTATTGTTTCTGAAGAAATGTACAAACCAGAAAAAATGTACAATCAATATAAATTAAATTATAGGGTCATATATGAAATGGAACATGTAGTGTTAACATGAAATATTTCTATGTATGTATTTATAGTGGGAAAATCATGGCATCTCTATCCTTGTATGAAATTGAGCAGGGTGGAATTTGTTTTTACCTTTCCTTATTGTCAACACTAAGCATTTGTGCTTTTGGCAGATAACAAGTTAGAAGCTTAGTGAGTTTGTCAATAGAAGGTTCTGTGGGGGAAACATGGAGGATGAGTTTGAGGGACTGTAGGTCACTTTGGTAGCTCTGATAACTCGCATATCTCAGGAAAGCAGGGAATTCCTGGGCTGCACATTTTCAGCACAGAGAACACATGCTGTTGAGTCTCACTGTGAGAGCCATGCTCTGCCAGGGTCAGACACATCCTCTCAGCTAGAGCAGAGTTCCTGATGATGGCCTTGTGTTCTGGCCCTGCCTTCCCTGAGGCAGAAATGGAGGCCCAGGGAGGTGGAGGATCTCAGACTGCGAGTCACAGAGCGCCACATTGTGGCAGGCTGCGTCCTCCCAAATTAGCATAGCAACTAAGCCTTTTCCCATTGGAGAAGGGGAGTGGTATCTTCAAGTCAACTTCCTTCCTAAGACCAGCATGAACCATTCTGTGCACCCTTAAGACAAAAGAATAAAGCTCCATGCTAGGGCTTCAGCCACATCAATCAAGACAGACAGACTTGTGGAATTGGAATCCTCTTCAAGTTTGTTCTAAGAGGCTATGCCCAACCCTGTGTGACCTCAACCAAAATCCTATAAGAACTTATAAGTTGACAAGAATGTTAGCACACAGGCTTCTCTGTGATCCTGTGATGTTTCCTAAGAACTCACCTTTGAATCTCGGATATCTTTCCCCAAACCCTTGGATAAAATCTCAGCATATTGCTGCATTGTTAGTGCTTCTGCACCGAGGTTCATGGCCTTGCCGATGAACTCCTCTGGGGAATTAAAGATGTTAGAGACGATGACTCCAATGTCAGCAACGGAGATGCCAGGCAGTGGTTTATCCCCCATGGGCAGCGCTAGTTTGAAAAAATAAAAAAAAGCGAGTTTAAAACTGTTTACCATGTTACCTCCCCAAGCCTGAAAGTATTCAACCAACTCCGCATAGAGTGGGAGGCAGCCATGGGAATATGAATGTATGTAAGAAGGATTTGCAGAACACCCCATGGCCTCTGGTATTGGCTACAAAGAACAGCCCTTGGCTACAGAACTGCTGAGTGCACAGTAGGGCTTATTTTACATTCTGCTTAACGTGTCCGGCTTCTTACTCAGCATCCTTACCAAGATGTTTCATAGGCGTCTGAACCTCCAGCATTCCATGCATAACTCCTACAACCTTGATAAGCAACTCTCCCTGTAAGCCTCTCCATCTCGGGAACTAGCGGCTCTTTGCAGTTTTTCAAATCAACAATTTTACAGTTAACCTCCAAATGTACTAATACATTTCTCGTGGAATCCTATTCACCTTATGTCTTGAACATGAACACTTCGCACCATGTCACCGCTACCACAAAGGTCTGCACCACAAGCATCCTTGGCTTGGATGAGAACAAAGTCATCTCCCAGTGTTTCCCAGGGCTCAACTGCTACCTAGAGCAACAAGCTTCGTGTCAAAGCAGCGCCACCTCGATGTTCTGATTCTGAACAGGAGACCCAGCACAGGAGGAGAAAACATTCCTTTGTGTTGCCCAAGAAAGTCAAGTAGAACGGCCAGAAGTCCCTAGAGGTCATTTTATCCAGAGTTAACTAAAACTGACTCCTGGCTGACAACTTGCACAAGTCAACGTGTGAATGCCTGAACATGCAACCCTCTGTAGTTTGGGTCTTTATGAAGTTCTCCACTTTTTAAGTGAAACCACCTGTGAGAGGGTACCTGAGTAATCTACTAATCTCCTTAGTGCTTCCCACAGAGCTGAGCCCATAAGAGCCACTTGAATATTGTGTGCATGAAGGGGAAGAGGGAGAGAAGAAGGAAGAAGAGAGTTGGGAGGGAGAGCAGCAGGTGTCTGGTTGACTTTCCTTGCAACCTCCCACTTACCCAAGGTGTAGTAATCTCCATCAGAGGCTTTGGCAGGTTTCAAACCACCATGAAAATTCTCAAAGTAAGATGGCACGCGGACGCTGGTCATGGGGACTCCAATGGACCTGAAGTATTCCTCCATTATTCCTTTGCCATCAAAGTGGGGCACGGTCAATTTTCCCCCGGATAGCTTATGGATGTACTCCAGGCTGCTGAACACCACATGCTTCAGACCAAGGCGCTTGGCCACATCTGCCATCAGCTTCCCCTGGGAGAACAAAGAGAAACCTTTGTGTGAAATCTGCTTTGCATACAAACCATAAGGTCAATAATGGGCCCTGCTTCCTCCCTTTCTCATTATCTGAATCCACATGCAGAGTAGGCATATCTGACTTTAAAATATATCAGGTTATATTCTGAGAGGCCACAAATCCCACCTCCAACATCCCCTACAATGTTTATAATTAAATCGGAGGAATATCTCAGGTCTTGAATTTTGGATGTGTGCCACATAGCGTTATTCTCACAATGAAATGTGCTTTAAGGAATTATCTAACATATACATATTTTGGAACTAGCAGAGTTTTGCTGTGGAAGAGGTTCCAATTTTTGCCCAGACTGAGGGCTTGTCCCATTCAGTTAGCGCAGAGGTACTAGAGATAGTATCAGGAAAGGGTGCTGCGGAATTAATTTTGTTGCTATGATGAAATACCTGAAAGTAGAGAACTTTACAAAGAGGTTTAGTGAGCTCCTACTCCTGGATGCTCTAAAGCCTGCATCTAGTGACACCCTCCTGCTGGCAGGGATCCAGGGTGCAGTCACACATTACCCAGCAACACACTGGGAGCACATGGGGTTCTCTGGGGTCTTTCCTTCTGACAAAGCACCAGGAGCCAACAGAGGCTCCATCCTCATGCCTTCCCTAACCCTCCTCAACTTCCAAAGCCCAGCTACCATCACCAGAGCTAGGCTAAGCTTCCACCATCTTCACATTTCACAATGAGGATGATCTTGAGCACCTGCACACCTAGGGAACACATTCCAGGCACAGCAGGCTCGAAGGGGCAGGAGGACACAAACAGCTGCTCACCTGACGCACTTCCCTCTCTTGGTCGAGATATTCCCAAAAGTTGGTCACCAGGAAGGCTCCATAGACACCTTTTAAAGCTGCCACTAAAGATGCTTCATCATCCAGATCACATTTCACCACCTCAGCACCAAGATCCTTGAGCGCCAGGGCACTGGGTTTAGTCACGTCTCTGGTCAATGCCCTCACTGCAAAATGTTTGGCATCCAAAAGTGCCCTGACCACAGGGCCCCCCTGAGCACCTGCAGGTGAGGGAGGAAAGAAACATAGGGATTATCAGGAGGAATATTTACTAGGGGACTTTGCACAAAGGCCCCTGATTCAGAACAGACCTAGAGTGGCATCTCCTTCAGGAGGTGCTTCCTGGTTCTTTAGGAAGCCCACGGCATTCACACTGGCTTCTTAAAGCCTCTTCAGATGTACTGTAGCTGAATGCTATGTGTTGAGTTCCCTTGTCACACACAGATGTGTTAACTCTGATAACTGATGTTATAAGTTATCTGTTGATGATTTAAAGGCAAAGACTTCATGCAATTATTGTGTCTAAGAGTTGAGTCTCTTACAAAGCATTTAAGTCATGCAATTGGACTAACGAGCCATTACAGGGTGGTTATCATGAGACCATTGGCTTTTTGAGTTCCAGTTTGGCCTGGCTGGCCTCGTTTGGCTTGATGCCTCATGATGTGATTGTGCCTGTGCATTCCCTGTGTGCAGATCTCAGCAGGTGCAAGTTCTAGCACCACCTGATGCTGGTTCTTAATTCCAAACTGAAAATTGAAAGGAATCTCATATGCTCCCAAGAAAAAAGCGTTTTCAAAATTGGTCAATGTTATAGCAGAAATAGCTTCACAATATAATCAAGAATTGTTCTAGAATTAATTGAAAAACATAAAGAAATACAAAGCAGGTGAGAAAATAATGAGGAGGGCAAGGGGTATTCCATTGCATGTAGAAATGATCAAAGAAGACGATAATTTCTGAGCTTTCTGATTGGGGGGGTCACTGAGTGCTTGAGACAGTGAGAAATAAATTAAGCCCTACATCTTAATCTCTTCCAGTTTCAAAACACTGAGGATGACACAGGATGCTAACTCCTGGAGGAGACATGTGGGATGGGGTGTAGATTTGGACTAAGAGTTTAGATTCCATTAGGACATCCATGTCTCACATTGGAGTACCCGATTCAAGGCCCAGCTCTGGCTCCTGACACCAGCTTCTTGCTAGTGAGCACATGCATTCCCCTGAGGCCAAATGTCCTCTTCTCATAGAAACCAGCCTGAATGGATTAGTATCCTCCCTAATGGTGTCATTTAACCTCATCACCTCTTCAAAGACTGTGTCTCCAAAATGATTCCCATGTTGAAGCACTGAGAGCAATGATTTCACCAGAGGAATTTTAGTGGAGGTAGCGCGATCATGACTATTGTAATTATTTCCTTGCACTTCTGCCCTTGCAAAGCAAAGAACTGGGTAAAAACAGAGACTGTTCATACTGTATTTCCCAATCATGGACTCAGACTACTACCTGGCATGGTAGAGGTTCTCAATGCCTCCTGTCAGCTGAATGAATGGATGAGTGAATGAATGGAGTAGAAACACTGAAATCTATGTCCACTTAGCTCTGCGCTTTGGAGATGTGCAGCCCTTTAGGTCTAACATGAGATAAAAACGCAAATAGCAAACACCAGGAGCAAAGAGTAAGAGTCACTGGACTATGAGGTCATCAAGGCCTGCAGGTGCAGTGTAATCTAAGGACACTGCAGGAGAGCACATGCTACAGAACAGATCCTCCTTCGCGTGCATTGCTATGAATACCAAGATGGATTTCTCCCAAGACCGTGACTCATCTACTCCTTAAAAACAAGAAAATCAAATGAAATGTCAACTGTTTGCCATCCTGCAGCGATGTATTTGGTGCACAGAGCCTGAAATTAACACGCATGAACTCTGACTGATGGTCAATAGCCAAAGTTTATTAGTGGCATATCAGACTTTTACAGATCGAGGGTCACATAGGATAAGGGAGGAGGCATTGAGCTTATGTACGAGACCCAGCAATTGTTTCCATACCCTTGTTTGGAACTTTTTTGTTTTGTATATCCCACCAAGTGTTCTCATTCACATGCTACTCAGTTGTTCTCATACAAGCGATATCCAATTAGTCACACAAAAGGTATCCATCCAGTTGTTCTCATACAAATGTTATCCTATCAGTTGTAATCCTGTGCTTGCTGACCTTCTAGGGTCACAATGTCCTTCTACAGTCAACAGTTCTGAAAGTGAAGTAGTGAACACAAATGCATATAACCTAGTACTGGATCAAGTGTTTGGTTTAGTGGTGAATATGCTGAGTGGGATGCCTGCATACCACATCAGAGCGCCTAGGTTTGAGTGTTGCTCTGTATCTGAACACAGCTTCCTGCTCACACACATCCTGGGAGGCAGTGATCAATGGTGGTCCAAGTACTTGGGTTCCTGCCACCCATAAGGGAGACCTGTATGGAATTCCCACCTCTTTTTTAAAAATTATTTTTATGGGAAAATCAGTTATACAGAGAGGAGGAGAGACAGAAAGGAAGATTTTCATCTGCTCATTCACTTCCCAAGTGACTGCAACAGCTGGAGCTGAGCTGATCCAAAGCCAGGAGCCTGGAGATTCTTCCAGGTCTCCCATGTGGGTGCAGGATCCCAAGGCTTTGGGCCATCCTCCACTGCTTTTCCAGGAACAAGCAGGAAGCTGGATGGGAAGTGGCGTGGCCAGGATATGAACCAGCGCCTATGCTGGGTCCCAGCGTGTGCAAGACAAACACTTTGGCCACTAGGCTATTGTGCTGGGTCAGAATTCGTAGCTCTTAATTTCGGTCGGAAGAGCACTGGCTGTTGTAGGTTACTGGGGAATGAACAAACAGGTAGGAAATCTCTCTCTGTTTCTCTGACTTGCAAATTATAAGAGAACTATATATATATGCATATATAGTTAAATCAGTATAGTTAAATATATATTAAATCAATATATAATATATCACACACTAATTAATGTGTTGTATTACTATATTATGTATTGTGTATTGATGTAATATAGTTATTTATTATATTAGACATTATTATATAAAAATCTATCTATCTATATACTTATTTAGCAGATCTAATAGATCTAGGAAGTAAAGGGAAGGCCATAACTGATCAGTGTATAACAGTCCTGAAGATACTTTGGGAAGAAGAAAGTTCAAATTGGAAAAAATAATAGAATACATAATAACAGAGTGAACCGTAGATATTATCTGTAATGCCTTCATCCTTTACTGGCAGTGGTTCGAGTCATGACTTTCCTACATCTGATCCAGGTCACTGCTAAATTTCCTGGGAAAGCAGCAAAAATATTGCCCAAATCCTTGGGTCCCTCTGCTTCTGTAGGAGACCTGGAAGGTGCTCCTGGTTCCTGTGCTTGGACTGGTTCAGCTTGAGCTGTTGCAGCCATTAATGAGTGAACCAGCAGAGGAAATCCTTCCTCTGTCTCACCTTGTCTCTCTGTAAATCTGTCTTTCAAATTAAAAAAAAAATTGAGCACATAAGACTGCTTGGAATACGGTCTTTCCAGAACTTAAGAAAACCAGCTGAATCAATTCATCCCCTGTTAGAGAGAGATGTGGCGTTGACACTGAGATAATTTCTGAGAAATACAGTCAAATCACCCTGCCCCTCACAGCGCCAATGACTCAAGCACTCAGGATGTTTCCTAATCCCCATACAAAGCATTTTCTTCAAGCCATACTCTCAAGCTCTGAGGATAAAAACAGTAAGACAGGAGGAACAGCAGAGTGGGCATGCACTTGAAAAGATTTTCCTACCTGTTGCTCCAAACACAGCAATCACTTTCTTGCTGGCCATGTTTCTGGACCAAGAAGAGCTTTCCTCAGTAGAACAACATCAGCAGCAATACAGCTTTGCTTCTTGCGTGAGAATTATAAAGAGCCTCTGATAGCCACACCCTGGATATTGCCCTTGTGATAAAATTGCCTTGTAGCTGCCAGCTGGAGTAGTCATTGTGACTCTGCAGTTTTCTAAATGATACTTTGTCCTTTCATTGATTCCACATGGTGTCTCAACAGGGTAATCATGAGTCTGCAACACTGGCATCCCAAAGGGGTAACAGTTCTACTCTCTGCTGCTCCACTTCCCATCCTCAGAAATCAGCAGAGGATGCCTCTTGTCCTTAGGCTCCCAACCCACAAGGGAGACCTGGAAGACCCTCCAGGTTCCTGGCTTCAGTTCAGCTCAGTCCAGGCTTAGCCACAATCTGGGGAGTAAATCACCAGATGAAAGATCTCTAACTATCCACTTTCCCTTCTCTCATTAGATATGCTTTTCAAACAAAAAATAAACATTTTAAAAGAAAAAAGAAAACCCATATTGAGTGCCTTTTGTATGCAAGAATTTGAATTTGAGGAAGTATCATCCAGGATTTTCATAACCAGATTTAAACCAGAAAATAAAATTTTTAAAGGTTTATTTTTTGATGCTGTTTACATAATTGAGAAGGATGCATGCCTATGTGGAGCACTGATTAGGATTGGAAGGGTTGAGGATTAAGGGAAAGTGGATGAGACCATCATTTGCAAATTATCTTTTTCCTGTTCTGGGTGGAAGTGGGAAGAGAAGAGGAGAGATCATACCCAGTATCCGGCGATGAGAGATGACCACCTAATGTCATCCCAGGGTCCCTGATGTGGAGAAGTCTCTGAGGGTACAACTGGTTTTGACAGTTCTGAAATTCTTTTGCTCTCACCAATCGAAGAATCAGAAAACCCTTCCAGAGTCCATTGGTGGGCATAGTTTACCTTAGAGTCTCCATTTGCCCAGATAATTGCTGTCAATGCTTGGCTGGGGTAGTTGTCCAATTTGTTCTGCTCTCTGTCTCTGCTATGCTAACAGATGTCTTCTGCAGACCCCAAAACACTGCCACATCCTCCATCTGCTTTTGGCATGCCATCCAGTGTTCCATGTTAGCCCCTGAGGAGTCCCAATTCTGACATATGCACTTCATGGTCAGACAAATGTGATTCTCTCCATGGCTGAAGTTCTAATTTCAGCTGTTCAGTCTGGGAGGTCTCCAAAGAAATCCTGTCTGACATGATCTCAGACCTGACTCCTATGTGTGCTTGCCAGTTTGGAATTTGGCTCTGTCTGTCACCCACATCAGTCTATGTACACACACCAGTGCTTGCAATTGTTGGCTCCATCCTGTCTCTAACCCCATCTCTTATGCAAACCAATGGTTGCTGTGGCCCAGCCCAACCCTGCCCACTACACACTCAGTCTTCACATACACCAGCAGGAATTACAGCCTAGTCAGAGTGTCTCCTAATAACCCTCACTAGTCCTGCCCCAGCCCTGGTTCCTGTGTTAGCTGCTATATGCAGCAGACTGCTCCAGTCTGTCGCACATCCCATTCAGCTCTTGTATACATCAAGGGGTGTCGAAGCCTAGCTCAGCTCAGCTGACCCCACTATCCAGCCCACACTCATGCCAGTAGTCTACCTAGCTAGGTCTACGCCTAGCCTTGGTTCTCATGCTCACTGGTGTTAGTTGCAGCCCAACAGAGAGGTAGCCACAGTCTCACTACTGGGCCCACTCCCAGCCCTGGATCCAGCACCATGCAGTGGCTTTGCAGTCTAGCTTGACAAGGTAGACCCCAGTCACAGTACTTGCCAGCTGATGCTGTGGCAAAGGCCAACCAGCCTGCACTTACTCGTACATGCACCAGTCGATACAGTTGCTTAGCCCAGTTTGGCTCTCCTGTTAACCTAGTACAGATGCAGGCCAACAGGGGTTGTAGTCCTGCTCAGCTTGGTTTGCCCCAGGTCACCCATTCTAGGATGCCCATCTCACCTCAACATTTGCGAGCACAGGGACCAGTGCAGGAAATGGGCCTGGTGGCGGTTATTGGGAGTCGTTCCGACTGCCTGCAGCTCCCACTGGTTTGCGTGAGGGCTGAATATGTGGTGGGCAGGATTGGGCTGGGTTCCAACATGCATTGGTTTGGATGGAAGACAGGGCTAGAGACAGAACTAACACAGAAATTGCAATTCCCAATGTTGCGTAGGCTGATTTGGGTGACAGACTGTGCCAGACCATTTATTGGCAAACACACACACAAGAATATCCTGTTTGCTACTAGGTAGGACACAAAGATTAGTTATTCCTCACTAAGGTATTGAAGATTTCTCTTTATATCCCTCCTAAAACTGTTCTGTGCCCTAATCGTTAACATATGCCTTATTAGAGTTATAAGCCTGTTTGAACTATCCTAAAATTCCCCAAGTTCAGTAAAAATCATGCTCCAATACTATGAGCTGCTAAATATAAAAATGAAAATAGACACGAGACAGCTGAATAATACCCTATAACCATTTTAAGGGGTATAGCAGCTGGTTGTGTATAAACTAAAATTGCAATGTCAATGAAGTAGTCACAGGATGTGGTTAAGAACTTGCATTCTCTAACATATTGGTCACTCGATACCATGCCAATTAACTCTATAATGTTGTTTAAAAAAAGATAAGCTTATTTTGAGTACAAAATTTGAATTCACACATATGGAGATACTCACAAGGTTTATACAAAATATATATCACTAATACACTAATGGATACATTAGTACACTTTTGGATTTCAAAAGATTTCTGAGCAAGGGTAAGCTTATTTTTTAATTGCAATTTCCCAAGAACATTTCTAAATTCTATTGCCTATCATGTCTTTGTTTTGGGAACATTCAAACTCCTCCGCATTGCTATTTTGAAATAATCTCTTTTCAGTGGCTTTGTTTCCATCTTTATTTACTAGAGGAAATTCGAGTATAGTGTTACTGGGTTAAAGAATGAATGTATTTTAATTACGTACACATATGCAAAAATATTGAATGTTTTCCATGGAATACATATTTTAGTTCAAGTTAAATTTTCTGCACATTTTTTTTGAAAAGCAGATAAATAGACAGCTTTTCTGATTGCTAGTTCATTCTCCAAGTGCCCACCATGTCCTTAGGCTGGAGACAAAGCTATTAGCCAGGAACTGAGTCCACTTCTGTGCAGAGACCTGGACAGACAGAAACTGAGTTCGCTTCTGTGCAGAGACCAGTGCTGAGACCCAGACAGAGACCCAAGTGTCTAAGTTATTACTTGCCACCCTCCAGTGTGCATGTTAGCAGGAAGGTGGAGTTGAGAGCAGTCAGAATTCGAACCCTGACATCCCAGTGTGGGCTGTGAGCATTGCAACCTGCATCTTGACTTACCAGGTCAGGTACTCACCCTAAACTGTTAGTTGAAAATCAATTTTTAATTTACAAAAGAAATCGCCAGACAATACAGAAATTTCACACATCTAGTTTTCCAACCATTAACATATTAATAAATATGTTGTTAAAATTAGTGAACCAATGCGAGGTCTTCAAAAAGTTCATGGAAACTGTGTAATGTTTATCTTTTCTATACAGTTTTTCCACACTTTGTAAAGTACCTTTGTTTATTAACATAATTTTATCTCTATATAAAATATATAGCATATAGATTATACAACACTATGCAAATAAGCAATACATTATTATTAAGATTTCAAAAAAAAAATAAAAGAATATCCTGTTTGGGATTACCTCAGATGAGGTTTCCTTGAGGATCCTCCCAACTGAATTGCTGGATTCAGAACCCCAACCATGGAGAGAACCGCAGGCTCTGTGATCTGACCATGGAATGCATGTGTCAGAGCTGGGCCTCCTCAGTGGAAAAGACAAAGCAGTAGACAGCATATCCAGAGGATGTGACAGTACACTGGAGTTTGCAGAGGACACCTGCTACCATAGCAGAGGACAGCAGACAGAACAAATTAACTATCTGCACCAAGCATTGGCAGTGAATACCTGGCAAATGGAGACTCTAAGGTGAACTATGTCAGCCAATGGATTCTGGAGAGATTTCTTCGTGATTGGTATGGTAAGATTGGCAGCAATTCAGAACTGTTGAACTACCGAAACCACCTGGGCAGGACCCTCAATGCATGCCCCTAATTGGGGACCCTGGGATGATTGGGATGCTGGGTGTGGCTTCTCCTCTTATCTTTCCCTTTTCCCCAGATACAGAAATGAAAAAAAAAAAAAAAACCCAGTGGAAACAATGGTCTCACCAACTTCCCTCTAGTCTTTGACCTTTTGCACCCTAATCATCAAAAATAAAATAAAACAATAATAAAAAAAAGAATTTGCCAGTAGGTGTTGAGCCAAGCCCAGCCCAGTAAGACCCCAGTCCCAGCCCTTACATGAACTGGCTAGTGTTGTGACACAATCTAGCCTTTCTTGAATAGCAACCTGATTCTCAGATATGCCTGTGGGTGTTATGGACTGGTCAAACCTGGTACATACCCAGACCTGACCCACATGAATGCCAGTAGGTACTGTAGCTTGGTCTGCTCTGGGCTGCTCACAGCTTTGGTTTTTGTGCTCACCTGCATGGACTGCATCCTGACAGAGGAGTTCCCCAAGTTCCTCTATGAGGTGTCCTCCCAGTGGCTGATCTCACACACACTGGTAGGTACTTGCCCCAGCCTGACATGGCTAACTTCCTGTCCTGGCAAGAACAGCGGCTGGCACAATGGGTCCACACCCATTTTGGCTCATAATATTGATGCTACAGACCAGCCACACCTGGTCCATGCCTAGACACAGCTCTCGCATGATTCAGCGGGTGCCGAGGCTTACCCCAGCCTATCCTATACATACTCTGGCTCTTGTGAGCATCAGTAGGTGCCTAAGTCTAGTCCAGTCTGACATGCCCTAGACCCAGTCCGCACCTATACTGCAGGACACTGCAGTCATGTCAACCCAGATTGCTGCCCCTATTCTGGGTCTTGTGCTCACCAGCATGAACCACAATTTAGCTGGGGCATCCCCT